GGACAATTTTGGTAAGCAGTTATTAAGTAAAAAACTAAGTTCGGAACACTGTGGGAAATGTGAAACATGGAAACCACCTCTTCCTCCTTAAGGAACTTTTTCTAGTGCTAAGGGAATCTGGTTAATGGCTTGTAAGTAATTTACCACTAGCATTGTTCAGGAAATACAATAAGATGAGAAGAATGGATTCTTAAAAAGCTTATGACACATCATGAAAAAAAACTAGAAAAAAAACCCCACTACTTACTTAATTTTTTGATACAAAAGGAGAGTTCTTTTCTCGAATGATCTGATTTATACTTTTGCAAAAGTTCCCTTATAAAAACTTAATTCTGTCAATTAGGGCGCAAAGTTAATGCACAAATTTGTTAAGTAGTTTATTTCTTCTATAAACATAAAGCCTAAAATGTTTCATTATATATTCTTTTATCTTTTCTAAGATAAAATATAACTCTCCCCCTAATCTTTTATCACAGCTTTTAAATCTATAAGTTCTCTTTCGTGCAAAATTATGGTTTTTCTTTAGCTACATTTTCATCTGCTTTCTCTGACAGAAATTCAGAGTGAGAAAGGATTTCTGAGATAATTTGATACCCTCCCCCCTTGACTGAGAGATGAGGGCTACGGCCCACAGAGGTTCAATTATGACAGCCAAGCTAAAAATAACCCAGGCTAGCATAGTTTATTGCTTCTTTAGACTCATACTCATTTCAATTTTATACTCATAAACCAGAAGAGTTCTTTAACATTAAACAGTAGTTTGACTTAAGTGTTCAATTTACTGCTTAAATAGTGTCTCTGGTCAGGACACGCCAGGGATCCTTCCACCAGCTGATGCTACAGCAAGGGCCTAGTGCGTGTGACTGGGGTACATCTGCAGAACTTTGATGGCTTTGGTCACAGCTTGGCCACAACCCCAATGAAGCAGGAGACAGAGAACTCAAATATCTTGATTATATATCCACTTCTGGGCAGCACCGGTATACTAAATGCCATTGTTAATTTCCAAAAGAATCAGACTTTACAGCTTAGGTTTAAGAGTAAGAAAGTAACTCAGAATTTTGGACTTTCTTCTGAGTAACAGAGGATCCAAGTGAACCATTACAGTGCAGAATGGACACATCTTTAAGAAAAAAAGGAGGCTCTATTTTTTTTTTAGGTCACCAGGATGACCCTCAGGTGCCCCTATCTGGCAGATTAGAAACTCCTTGAAGGCAGACTACAAACTCTACTTTCTTAGTTTTTCTTTGTTTCCCCAGTGCCTACCAGAGCTCCTGGCACAGAGCCAGTACTCAGCAAATTATGTTAGAGGGAGATGGTAAGAACAGATGGGAAAGATCTCCAGAGAGTAAGCGTGCCTATAACCCATGCTTTATGGGATACAAGCTTTGTGCTAACCCTGAAATGTCCCAGATACACACAGAGTTCTTTTTTTATTATATTTTAAACGTTTATTTACTTTTGAGAGACAGAGACAGAACACGAGTGAGGGAGGGGCAGAGAGAGAGGGAGACACAGAATCTGAAGCGGGCTCCAGGCTCCGAGCTGTCAGCATAGAGCCCAATGCAGGGCTCAAACCCACGAACCCACGAACCCTGAGAGCATGACCTGAGCTGAAGTCAGACATGCAACTGATTGAGCCACTCAGGTGCCCCAGAGTTCTATTTACACAATAAAGTGATTGCTTTGTAAAGTAATTATTTTGGTGATTATTGGCTATTTCCTCTAATAAATAATAAAAATAATAATTTTTAATTTCCCCAAAGCCCTGGAGCTTTACATCTGAGGAAAAAGGAAAAAACAGCCTCTACACAGGGACCTACATTTGTAAATATGAAAGCAAATATTGTTGAAATGGGATATAACTGAATGCAACCAAAATTTACTTTATGTTTTTCATATCGCTAGGAAAATAAAACAAAACAAAAGGTAAAAACTCTTAGAATGACTTCCCAGCTCCAGTCTTAGCAATAGGCCAAAAACTAAGGCTACAAGGACCTCGAGATTTCTTATGAGAAACTGTAGTAAGAAAAATACAGTGACTCATCTCATAATAATGCCCCTTCTTCCCAAAGTACACATCACAATTCCCACATCCCTGGCACGTGGGCACTTGGTGCAGAGCTATTGCAACACAGAGCATCTCCCTGCACCAGCGCCCCTCGGTGGGCCAGAGAGATGCCACTATTGGGGTAACAGACCTCCCTGGAGCTGGGGGAAGGCTATTAGTGGGTGGCACCGGTGGCACGGTTGCACTCATTCTGCCCCCCAAAGGAGGGGGCTTACTCCCCCTGTACTGCTTGATCTGGGACAGTGGTTCTTTTGTGTAGCCACCTTTAAGTAAAGTGGGGAGCTGGGTGCAGCTGGCTTCCTTCTGTGCAGGCTCAAAGAATCACCTGGCAGAGCAATTCTGAATAGGCAACTCCAGATCACCTAACGGACAGTCATTCAGACACTGAGGAACCAAAATGGGAGGAAAAAGATGAAGGAATAGGAATCTACTACTCATGACACAAACAAGGTTCCCAGGCTGTTGCCTGGGTACTGGCTCACTCCCCCATCACTTCTGGGGTCACAGAGAACTGAGCTCAGTGAACAGTAAGAGGAAAATAACTGGTGTTTCTTAACAAAAACGTATCTCCAATATAGCTATTTAGGAAGCCAATTTCCCAGGCCTTACCAGTCAAATGGTCCTGGAGAATAATTACCAAAAGAAATGACACGGATTCTGCCCTTTGGCAAATATCAGTGTAAACTGATAAAGAATCCAAAGTTTTCTGGAAATTCAAGGAATATTCACACAAGAGCCAGGTATCACTGGCTTTGGGCATTTTAAGTATATATCAAGGACTATGCACACCTTCTATCAGAGAGAAGGCAGATTCTGGGAAGGTAGGAAGGTAGGTTTGTTGACCCCCAAATGGCTGAAACAGGTGGGCTCCGCAGAGGTCAAACATCAATGAGGCTAAAGCTCTAAGGCATGTGTGGTGGAAGGACAAAGTTGTTGGCTTGATGGGCACTGTGCAGGAGGGTTCTTTGCTAGGCCTGGTATTTTACTGTTTCTAAGGATGACAAGCTTGAGGAAGTGGTGGACTAGAGGCCTGTTAGGAGGGGAGGTGCACAGGTGAGCTGGCCAATCAGAAGTGGTACACAGAGCCTATGTCCAGGGAGGCCGCTGTGTAGCGGTGCAGAGTGTTAGTAGACTCCGGTGCTTGTGTGGCTGGGCAAGTGTGTATGTAAAGGCACAGAGGTGGAGAAGATAGCAGGTGAAGAGACAGAGACTGACCACATCTAAAGAGAATCACTGAAAACAATGAAAATCCTCATGCTATCAATGTGTTTTTCCTTATAAGCCAGTTCGGTTAACTCAGAGTGTTATCACTAGACGTCAGAACATTTTGAAGAGAAGAAAACTGAACTGGCTTATGTAAAAGGCTCAGACTAGACTACTCAACTTTTCAGAATGAAAATTCTTAACATTTAGGAAGTCCTCCAGATTACAGGATTTATTTGACAGCAGCTATAGGAAACTCAGGATCTATATAAATACCAGTGCCCCAAAGGAGGATAATATTTCATTTGTATTGAGATGTTTTAATTCACCCTTAATAATTTAAGATATTAGGTATTAATATTACATATCATAAAAGATCTAATTTCTTCTTTTTTCCATCTGAAGCAAAACACATCCTGGTACAGTTAACTGGCGTTTTCTTAAACCACAGATCAATTTCTTCACTGCTCTGAGAATCAGTTAAGTTATATTATAGTTATTTGCCAACATCATTACTACTTTTGTATTTATTAATTTACTAAGATGACTCTAACATCTTGGAAAAATCTCAAAGAACACACTTTTAATACTTTCACCAAATCTGTCTCATTTATGTCATTTAATTGACAGAAGAAAAAATAAGGGTCCCACTGGCTTTTCCAAAAGGCTCATCTGCTCCAAATAAAAGCATCTCTGCTCCTTACTTTTCCTAGGTCTCTAATTCACTCTTCTAGTTTCTATCCATTTATTTCAGATGAGGTAAGAAGCTGGTTTTAGACCATGTGGGCCAAACGTCACATCTCATATGGATTAAAAAATAATAAACATAAGGGGTAATCCAATACTCTCATAAATTATTTTATGCATCATAATCCTGTCACACTTCATGTCCAGGTTTCATATCTGCTAGTTTTTTTTTCTTCTTTGTTAAAGTTCAAGCAATATATCCAAAAATATGAAAAAAAAGTTTACACAGAGGTAAGTTCAGATAGAATGGACTGTGGCTACAATAAGATACACACACAAACACACAATCATACACACATTCTCCACAGAGACTCTCTCAAATGCATATGTTAAGTTGACAAGGCACAGCTATAAGTTACAACATGAAGGGAGGGTTTTCTGTATCTATTTATCTGAACAGAGAACCCCAATGAAACACAAATGAAACAGGCAGGACCTGATGGAGCTTGAGACTTAGCCTGAGAAAGGAGAAAGAAAATAAACCCTATCGGCAAAGAAACAACACACTGGGGAAAAGTACTGATTCTCATGAAAATGTCAGTGATTCACCATGGAATAAAATTCAAAGCTGCTGACCCCAATGAAAGCTTCCAGTGGAAACATGTGGATTTTGTTTCATTTCATTTAAAGACCTTGCTTTATCTCATTTGAACATTAGCATAAGCACCATCCCAGATTCTGTAATATGTTTTCCTTTCTCATTAAAACTGATATAGAAAAAAAAATTGATAAAAAAAAGATGTGGCTGATAAAACTAAATTTTCAAGGGGCCTTCAGGGAAAAAAAAAACAAACACCAAAAACAAAATAAATAAAACACATCAGTTAATATTATCATGCAAAAGAGGTAGGACATTTTTGGTCCCTTGAAACATTCATTAGGTACTCAATGGCCGAAGGATAACAGAAGATAATATTTTTTCTATTTTTACAGTAAGTTGTCATTTAAGCAGATTTATTTATAGAATTTCTGTACATACCAATTCTTCACTCTGACTTGCCATAAGATCATGACTGAATGAAAGCTGACTTACACAGACCACAAATCTGTCAGGAAATACACGGAGCTCTGCATAAAATGAAGAAAATCAAGTTATTAAAGGCATCAAAAATCTATAAACACAAAATCCTAGGTCTCGGACTTTTAACTTACAGCTAAAACATGTATAAATAAGACACATGTCTCCTCTCCTTCTCTCCTTTCAGTGTTTGCCATCAATAGGGCAGGGCAAACCCAGAGCTCTAGGGAGCACCCAGGAGGCTGCAAATTGGTCCACCTGAGCCCCTGGACCATTATATTATATCCCATGAAACCCCCAGGCAGGGCCCTTGCAGCCTTCCCTCTGTGTCAGTTTGCTGTTTTCTGACCAGAACCCACATTTGGGAAATAGGATCAACGTGTTCTAACGAGTGGTGCAGAATTACATAGAAAGAGGAAGACTATGGCGTAAAATCTGAAAACATGAATCATCAATGTTCTCAATAATTAGTTTACTTATAATCTCTTTGGTCAACTGGTCTCAGATTGGTCCCCTAAACTGAAGGGCAAACTCCCAATCTGAATCATGCAATGAAAATAGCAGTGTCATTAATACGAATAATAATAAGGAAACAGTAAAATATGCAATAGTAAAGATGATATAATTACACCTCACGCTAATTTATTATTACAACTTCTTAGAGCAAAACCACTGACTTCTGGGTGGGGAGGGCTGCAGGAATCTCAGAGCTGGACACCCCAACATTCAATGAAAAAAGAATATAAAATGGTAAGTGGCATATGCATCTGTCCTCCTCTCATTTGTCTGTACGTCCATTCACATTCACTTATGCAGCCTCCACCTATCTCTTGAGTGATGTTTAGCTGATGCTAAGAGCATATATTCTGAGTGGGAGGTGAGGGTCTTCTCCCTTCTTTATACTTGGTTGTATTGCTTTCACATTTTTTATGATACTTATATATCATATGTATAACACAAAGACATTTTTCTAAAAGAGATATGACCAATATTTTTAAAGAGGGATATTATGAATCAAATAAGTGAAGCTCTTTATGTACAACAATGAATGACAACGTTAGGGACTGACTGATACACTTAGAAGCCAAGCATGAAGGTATTGACTACATATACACACAAATTAAACACAGTTAACGCCACACCACCTTGCTAGGTTAAATTACACCAAGGGCCCAATGAGTTGATGTTTTAGAAACAGCCATCTCCTTACTTCTCCCCTGGACCACTTCTGTCTCCTTGGTGATCACTCTTCCCTATTCTAATTCATCCTACTCGGTGCAAATAGGTTAACAGTTCTAAAAAAAAAAAAAATATTTCCACTTATCTTGCTCAAAACTCCATTGTGGCTCCTCAGTACCCATCCCATGATATACAAACTTCTAGGCCCTCCAGGAGCAGGGTCTAACCTGTCATTCTGGTCTTACTCCCACTAGTCCTCCTCATATAGAAATCCCTATTTCCAAGGGCCCGAGTGTGTTGAAATTTGGACCTTTCATGGATGTTCTATCTGGTAAGAGACTAGGGATGGACTTTGAAAAGCAAATAAATAAATAAATAAATAAAGTCATTAATATTTATTCATTAATTCTTAAAATTTCTTATTGGGGTAAGTGATAAGTAGTCTGTTTCCTTAGGGGAAACTAAGCCACGGAATTCATTATTTCCCTCCCACCTAAAATCATGTCATTGAAATAAAACTCAGTGGATCAGAATTTAAATTAAAAATGATCAATTCTATTCAGTTATTCCTCTGTTTTGTCCTTCTATTTCTTCCTCTGAAAAGTAACAATACTAGACTGATGAATTTTGAACATTTTGGGGCCACGTATCATATAAACAGAAAGCAACCTCTGTACACTTCTTCTTTACTTTGGTCATAACTGAAATTTTTATCATTTTAATATTAAAAAAGATTTAGGCAATAGCAATCTTTACCATACAGGGTAGCTAGCCTTCATTTTAACAGACAGATACCAGGCTGAATGGCTTATTTTACTAAGAGAATTGAACAAAGTGGAAAGCCCCAGTAAGAAAGTAATATATATCTGAGTGACACTTAAAGTTTAAAAAGCACAGATAACTGTGAAGATGCCAAGAGCAAACTTCTATACAGTTTATTTTCAAAGTCCTTGTTTCATATCTTATATATTAAAGTCATCCAAGGAAGTTCAGTTAGAGTTTCTTTCCAATGTTCAGATCAGCTTGCAGAATTGTCATTAGCATCTGACTTTATTGTTGTTGGCTGGACGTGTTTGACATCATTTCCTCAGCAGACATCTTGACTTGGGGAAAGGAGGGGTGAAAGCTGGCCTTGTCACAAACCTAAGAAAGGCTCTGACAGCTCTGGGCTGGGAAAGCATTTTCTCGTGTACACACTTGTTCTATATTCCAGGGACTCGGTGTGCACAAAGATGAAGTGATTCATAGTGTAAATGCCTGTCAAATCATTCTGGAAGCTCAATGAAAGTGCTGAGATGCAGCAGGAAAGTAAAGCATAACATGGCCCAGCTCACAGTTCTCAGACAGGCAGTAAAACAGTGAAAATTGGGTAAAAAATCATAAATGTTTAGATACACTCTTAATCAGTACTTCAATTTTACTAAGGCAATGAAACAAGTTGGAATCTTTATTCCTTAATTTTCATTCCTTCTCTAAGGCAAGCAAATAGTGCAAAATGCCTGACAACTCAAGATATCAGCTTCTTACCAGTACTCTGTGAACTCCTGCAACATAGGAGGCGAATCCCTCTCTTGAGGAAATAGGCTGTGATTTGAAAGCCATAACCTGTAAGATGAAGGAGGATATCATTAGATTACAAGCTTGCTTGCCACTAAATCCCACAGGCCTCCCTAGTGCCTACCACATAGTATGTGTTCAATAATTATTTACCAAATCAAAGGTTATAAAGAATCAATAGAGGGACTCACATGAGAGGAAGGGGTAAATATGACACTATGGGCTCTTCTAGGAGGCCTGGTCAGAACACCTGGCTGGGATGGTCTCCAGTCCCTGAAGTGGCTCAGTTACTTTATCTGTTAGAATGAATTCAACCAAGAATTTTCTACCCAGCAAGATCATCATTCTGAATTGAAGGAGAGATTAAGAGCTTTCCAGAAAAGCAAAAACTAAAAGAATTCGTCACCACTTAACTGGCCCTACAAGAAATGCTAACAGGCCTTCTTTAAGCCCAAGAGAAATGGCACTATTAATTATAACAATATATGTATTATATATAATTATATATATATAATAATATATATATAAGGAAAAATCTCACTGGAAAAGTAAAATATATAACACAGGTAGTGGATCAAGCACTTGTAAAGCAAGCATGAAGGTTAAAAGACAAAGGTAGTAAAATTCCCTCAAATTACAATAATTAGCTAAAGGCAGCCTAAAATGTAAAGATATAAAATGTGTCATCAAAAATATAAAACATGGGAGAGGGGTAATAAGGTAAAGCTTTGGAATGAATTTAAAATTAAGTTGCTATCAACTTAAAACAGACTGTTATTTATATATATTTTATATGAACCTTGTGGTAACCACAAGGAAAAAATACATAATAAATACAAAAAGAAAATGAGAAAAGAACCTAAAGATAACACTAAAGAAAGACATCAAACCACAAAAGAAGAATGAAAGAGAAGAAAGGAACAGAGAGGAACTACAAAAACAACAAGAAAATAATGAACAAAATGGCAAGAAGTATATACTTATCAATAATTACTTTAAATGTAACTGGTCTAAAATCATCAGTCAAAAGACACAGAGTGATAAATGGATAAAAAACAAACAAACAAACAAAAAACTGTAAGAGCCATCTATATGCTACCTACAAGGTATTCACTTTAGAAGTAAGAACACAGACTGAAAGTGAGGGATAGAAAAAGATATTCCAGGCAAATGGAAATGAAAAGAATGCTGGAGTAGGTATACTCATATAAAATAGCACAAACTTTAAAACAAAGACTGTAATAAAAAAACAAAAGAGGGCATTACATAAAGATGTCAATTCAATAAGAAAATATAACATTTATAAATATATATGCACCAGATAAGGAAGCGCTAAAACATATAAAGCAAACACTAACAGACCTTAAGGGAGAAATTAAAACTGATACTGTAATACCAGGAGACTTTTATACCCACTTTCATCAATGGGTAGATCAGCCAGACAACAACAACAAATTACAACAGAAACATCAGCTTTAAACAACACATTAGACCAGATAGACTTAATAGATACATACAAAATACTCTGTTCAAAAGCACAATACACATTCTTCTCAAGCAATCATGGAATATACTCCAGGATAGATCACAAGTTGGGCCACAAAACAAGTCTCAATAATTTCAAGAAAATTGAAATCATATCAAGCATCTCTTCCAACCACAATGGTATGAAACCAGGAATTCATTAGAAGAAAATGGGGAAAATATAAAAATATGGAGAGTAAACAACATGCTACTAAATAACCAATAGGTCACTGAAGAAATCAAAGGAGAAAATAAAAAATAATCTACAGACAAGTGAAAATAAAAATAGGACATATGAAAATACATAGGATGCAGCAAAAGTAGTTCCATGAGGGAAGTTCATACCTCAAGAAACAAACAAACAAATCTCAAATAAACAATGTAGCTCTGCAACTAAAGGAATCAGGAAAGAAGAACAAGAAAGACCCCATATTAACAGAATAAAGGAAATAATGATGAACAGAAGAGAAATACACACTAAAAAGGTGACAGGAAAAAAAAGCAATGAAGCAAAGAGCTAGTTCTTTGAAAAGATAAATGCAACTGAAAAAATCTTAGCTAGACTTACCAAGAAAAAAGAGAAAACTAAAAAAAAAAAAAAAAATCAGAAAGAGAAGTTACAACCAGTATCAAAGAAATACAAAGGATCATAAGAGACTACTATGAAAATTATATACCAGAAAACTGTAAAACCCTAAAGAAATGAATACATTCCTAGAAACCTACAATCTTTCAAGACTGAATACTGAAGAAATAGAAAATCTAAATATACCAATTACTAGTAAGGATGTCGAAAGAGCAATCTAAAACCTCCTAACAACAGAAGGGACCAGATGGTTTCACTGAAGAATTCTATCAAACATCCAAAGAAAATTTAACATCTAGCCTTTTGAAACTCTCCCAAAAACTGAAGGAAGGAAAGTTTCTAAACATATTTTACAAGGCCAGAATTACCCTGATACCAAAACCAGACCAATGACTAGAAGAAAGAAAGGAAAGAAGGGAAGGGAAGGGAAGGGAAGGGGGAAGGGAAGGGAAGGGAAGGGGGGAAGGGAAGGGGGAAGGGAAGGGGGAAGGGAAGGGGGAAGGGAAGGGGGAAGGGAGGAAGGGAGGAAGGGAGGAAGGGAGGAAGGGAGGAAGGGAGGAAGGGAGGAAGGAAAGAGAAAAGAAGAAAAGAAAAGAAAAGAAAAGAAAAGAAAAGAAAAGAAAAGAAAAGAAAAGAAAAGAAAAGAAAAGAAAAGAAAAGAAAAGAGAAAAGAAAATTAAAAGCAATATCCTTGGGGCACTAAGGTAGCTTAGTCAGGTGAGCATCCATTTAGGATAAAAACTCTCAACAAAGTGGGTATGGAGGAAATATATCCCAATATAATAAAAACCATATATGACAATCCTACAGCTGACATCACACTTAATGGTGAAAAGCTGAAAGCTCTAACAGCAGAAAGAAGACAAGGATGCCACCCTCACCACTTTTATTCAACATAGTCTCAAAAGTCCTAGCCATAGCAATTAGGGAAGAAAAATAAATAAAAGGCATCCAAATCAGAAAAGAGGTAAAACTGTCACAATTTGCAGATGGTGTGATACTATATATAGAAAATTCTAAAGAATTCATCAAAAAAAGTTGTTAAAACCAATGAATACATTCCAGTTGCAGGATACAAAATCAATATACAGAAATCTGTGGTATTTCTATACATTACTAACAAAACATTAGAAAAAGAAATTTAGAAAACAATCTCATTTACAATTGCATCAAAAAAAAAAAGCAAAATACCTAGTAGTAAATTTAATTAAGGAGATGAAAGACATGTTCCCTGAAAACTGTTAAGACACTGACAAAAGAAATTGAAGAAGCTACAAATAAATTGAAACATATTCTGTGCTCATGGATTGGAAGAATTAATAGTGTGAAAATGTCTACACTATTCAATATAATCTTTGGCAACACCTATCAAGATCCCAGTGGCATAGTTTACAGAACTAGAATAAACAACTAAAATTTTTATGAAACAAAAGAAGATGCTAAATAGCCAAAGACATCTTGAGAAAGAAGAACAAAGCTGGAGGCATCACACTTTCTGACTTCAAAGTATACTACAAAGCTGTAGTAAATCAAAACATTATGGTATTGGTACAAAAACAGACAAACAGATCAATGAAACAGAATAAAGAGACCAGAAATAAACCCACACATATATGGACAGTTCATCTATGACAAAGAAGCCAAGAACATACAATGAAGAAATGATGGTCTCTTCAATAATGATGTTGAGAAAATTAGACAGTCACATGTGAAAGAATAAAACTAGACCAATATTTAATACCATGCACAAAAATTAACTCAAAATGCATTAAAGACTTGAATGTAAGACCTGAAATCATAAAATTCTTTGAGAAAAATATAAGCTCCTTGACATCAGTCTTAGGAACATCCTTGTGGATCTGACTACAAAGACAAGGGAAATTAAAGTGAAAGTACACAAAATGGGCTACATCAAACTTAAAAGCTTCTACCCAGCAAAGGAACTGTCAACATATTGAACAGGCAACCCACTAAATGGAGGAAGATTTACTGCAAGCTATATATTTGATAAAGGGTTAATATCCAAAATATATAAAGAATTCCTACAACTTGACAACAAATCAACCAACCTGATTAAAAAATGGGTAGAAGATTTGAACCAACATTTATCCAAAAAAGATGTACAGATGTCCAATAGGCAAATGAAAAGATGGTCAACACCACTAATTATTAGGAAAATGCATATCAAAACTACAATAAGAAAATACCTAACATCTGTTAGAGTGGCTACAAAAAAACAAGCAAACAAAGAAAAAAAAAACAAACAAAAAATTACAAGTGTTGCTGAGGATATGAAGAAAAAGGAAACTTTGTGCATTCTCACTGACGGTGAGAAAGTAAATCGATGTAGCCACTATGGAAATTATAGTGGTCTCAAATAATTAAGAATAGAACTACCGTATGACCCCAATATTCCATTCTTAAGTATTTATCCAAAGAAAACACTAATTCAAAAAGATATATGCACCCATATGTTTACTGCAGCATTACCTACAATAGCCAAGATATGGAAACAGTCTAGGTACTCACTGACAGATGAATGGATAAAGAGGATGTGGCACATTTCTAAAAAAAATTTTTATAGCTTATTTATTTTTGAGACAGAGGGAGACAGAGCATGAGCCAGGGGAAGGGCAGGGAGAGAGGAAGACACAGAATCTGAAGCAAGCTCCAGGCTCTGAGCATGCTGTCAGCACAGAATCCAATGCGGGGCTCGAACCCACTAACCGTGTGATCATGACCTGAGCTGAAGTCAGATACTTAACCGACTGAGTCACCCAGGCACCCTAGGATATGGTACATTTATACAATGGACTACTACTCAAATATAAAAAAGAATGAAATCTTGCCATCTGCAACAACATAGGTGGACCTTGAAGATATTAGGCTAAATTAAGTAAGGCAGAGAAAGACTAATTCTGTATTACTTCACTCATAT